CTGAGACTCACTCTGTGTGTCCCTGGAAAACGTTCACGGAGTGGATGGAAGGGTCCCTGAAATCCCACAGGCGGAAAGTCGTGTCGCGAGAGGAGGTGACCACGAGCCGCTGGGTGGGGTGCGTGCAGCAGTGCGTCAGCTCCTGGTCGTGCCCTGCAAGCAAAGGCCACAGAGCAAGGTCACCGCTGTGGAGTCGCACTGAGAGCTGCTCCTCAGAAACACAGGAATCAGACACCGTCTTCCAGGGCTCTGCTGCTGCCACCCAGGGGAAGGGAAACCTCACGGAGCCCCTTAACACGCAGAGCCACAAGGGACAGGCTTTCCCCGGGAAAAGTCGTCCGATCCAAAGCAGCAGGGAACTAGCTGTGTGCTTAGCCCGCTCGCTGACCCTGGCAGGCGCCAGCGGGGGGTCAGGTAAATTAACAGGCTGTGCATGTGAACGACCTAAATCTTAATTCTCCACTTTCCCAATACCGTCTGCAACCCAACCCCCTGGGCCCTCAGTGAGACACAATCCTGGACACTCGATCAGGAACCGGCTCACTGACAAATCTGCAGAAACAACCGTGACAGCAGAATCCTTCGGTGCCCCCAACCCGAGCCACCCCACCCCTGCCCTGCAGAACTAACCGCCCTTCGTCAGGACAGAACCCGTAAATGTGCCGGGACAGCTCTCTGGAAACCAGGCCACGTCATGAGGCAAACGGGAGTCTGCAAATGTAACGAAGGTCCCCGAATCCGCTGAGTCTGGGTTAATCAGAAGAAAGACTGTCCCGGGTGGCCCAGCCTAACCAGGCCCTTACAAGGTCCTGTCCTCCTGCCGCTGGAGACCCGCTGCCAGAGTGCGCTCCCACTGGCTGGAAGACAGCAGCGTGCCAGGTGGCAAAAGGAACCCTTGGCAGGGGCTTCCGGGGACCCAGGGCAGCCTCAAGAGGCTCATAGGAGCCCCAGCTGACCGCAAGAGAACGGGAGCCTCGGTCGCAGCCACAGGAAACGGGACTCCTGCGGCCACCAGCAGGCCCGGTGGACCCGGCCTCAGCAAGGTCCTGCCCAGGCACCAGCCCCACCCAGCAGAGCAGCAGCTGCCACAGACAGAAACCCTGACCCAGGAAACCAAGAGACAGTAAATCCTTCTCGTTTTAGGACACTAAGTTTGTGGCAATTTGTTACAGAGCAACAGAAAACTAATACAGCAACCACCTTTCAAATATTAAGACAGTACATGCCACATTTCAACGTCCTGAAGATAAAATAAATTTAGCTACCAAAAGTTCTACTAGAAAGAATCTCTGGAAATTGCCACCAAACAGCCAAGAGGACTAAAAAATACTCCTGGCCAAGAAGTAACCTGTCAGATCAGACACAGGCATGTGAGCACTGAGGTCCTGGCAGGGAGGGGACGGGCTCTGAGGCCCCTGTCGGGGAGGGGACGGGCTCTGAGGCCCCTGTCGGGGAGGGGACGGGCTCTGAGGCCCCTGTCAGGGAGGGAACAGCACTGAGGCCCCTGTCGGGGAGGGGACAGCACTGAGGTCCCTGTCGGGGAGGGGACCGGCTCTGAGGCCCCTGTCGGGGAGGGGACGGGCTCTGAGGCCCCTGTCAGGGAGGGAACAGCACTGAGGCCCCTGTCGGGGAGGGGACAGCACTGAGGTCCCTGTCGGGGAGGGGACCGGCTCTGAGGCCCCTGTTGGGGAGGGGACAGCACTGAGGCCCCTGTCGGGGAGGGGATCAGCTCTGAGGCCCCTGTCGGGGAGGGGACCGGCTCTGAGGTCCCTGTCGGGGAGGGGACAGCACTGAGGTCCCTGTCGGGGAGGGGACCGGCTCTGAGGCCCCTGTCGGGGAGGGGACAGCACTGAGGTCCCTGTCGGGGAGGGGACCGGCTCTGAGGTCCCTGTCGGGGAGGGGACAGCCTGTCGGGGAGGGGACCGGCTCTGAGGTACCTGTCAGGGAGTGGACCAGCTCCGACGTCTCCACGTCGTACAGGTTCGCCGTTCGGTCCCAGGAGGCGGTCACGGCCTGCTTCCCTCCCACCAGCCAGTCAGCGGCGATGACCACGCCCTGGTGGCTCTTGAGGGACGTCAGCGGGACGCGGATGGTGGGGCAGTCACTGGACGCGTCTCCGTCGAGGTCGGGCTCGTCTTTATCGGAGCACTCCACCTCCTCTTCTCCGGAGACCTGCTGCGACGGCAAGGCCAGAGAGAAAGCGTCTCCTGGGGGTCCCGAGTGTTTTGTCCCCACCCGCCCTTCTAGGACTTACGCGTCACCACGCCCGACGCCAGCAGGACGTGAGATGTAACGGGCCTGGGCAGTGTTACCAACTCTACGGCCACCATGGGGCCAAGACCCCCGGCCCAGACGAGGGAAGAATGACGGCCGCTGCGGGGCCAGGCGAGCTACAGCTCACTTCCACCAACCCACAGAACGGCAAATAAAATGACTGCCGACGTCTTAAGTTTTTGACACTTACCAGTAGAAATGCAATATAAAATTAAACAAATACAATTCGAAGTCAATAATGTATTACAATGAAAAGGAAGCATTTCGATTCTCAAGTGCCTGTTTAAAATACACTTAGAGTTCTATTGCTATAATGAGAGCTTATTTTCCTACAGTACGAATGAGTCTTTTGTCAAAGCCCAAGGATGAAACTGGAATGTCACAGCTGGCACAGACTCCGGCTCTGCCAGAAAATCTGTGTGTCCGTTCAACACGTGGTTACCAGGTGCTGACAGGTGCCAGCTGCACGGCAGAGGAGGGGACCGGCGGTGCCCAACACGTGCACAGGCAGGACCGAGCTCACTGCAGCCGACAGGGAACCCGGACCAAGCGGCCTGGCGGAGGCGCTGCCCTCCCGGCACTTCCGCTCCAGCAAGGGCGAGACCACGCACCCACAAACACACACACGGTAACACGGGATACGTACATGCTCACGTGCACTGACGTGGGGACACACATGGCTATGGGAATACACGTCACACGGACATACGTGACGATGGAACAAATTCACAGACACACACAACTGGGAATACATGTCACATGGACACACACTAGTATGGTAGTGTGCCGTGTGCATGCTCGTGTGGGAATACATGCCACATGCGTGCACACAGAGTCGGTTCTTGGAAGAGAAGGGAGGCAGGACGAGGGTGGTCGGGGCTGCTGCTTTATTCAGAGTCACTGAGGATGGACTCTGGTCACACTTGAGTCTGAACAAGAAGATGGCAGGAGCCGGGCGTGTGGACACTGGGGGACAGCATTCCAGGGGAGGGGACACCAAGTGCAGAGCCCCACGTGCTGCACAGACCACGGCCATGTGCGTGGGGCACGGTGCATGGGGGCAGCACAAGGTGATGTGAGAGATGTCTCGGGTAAGCTTGTGTGAACCTGGGGCCGTGAAGGATGCCAGTCCTGCCCCTGTGCTGTCTGCACAAACCTCGGGGACGAGGGAGGGCAGCTGCGGAGGCCAGAGTGTGTCCCTCCAGCCCACATGCGGAGGCCCTGCCCCAGGACCTTGGCTGTGACAGTTTAGAAACAGGGCCTTTCAGGGGCTAACTAGGTTAAACGAGGCCATTCAGGTGGGCCCTAATCCACGTGACTGGCGTCCTCATAAGAGAGCAGATGAGGACAGACACACACCGGGACGACCCGTGAGGACACAAGGAGGAGACGCGCCTACGCCAGGGAGAGGCCTCAGGAGGGAGCAGCCCTGCTCGTGCGTCTCAGACCCCCAGCCCCAGGAAGGTGAGGGCAGAAGGTGCTGGGGGACTCCGTCACGGCAGGCCCAGAGAGCGACAGGGGCGCCGGGAGCCAGCAGACGAGCAGTAAGAGCAGACCTCCACGCACGCCCAGTCCTGGCAGGTACTAGGATTTACTCTGAGAGTCGCAGACAGACTCCTGCGAGTCTGGCCCACGCTGCGCGTTCAGGAAGGAAAGGTGCTTACGCTAGTGTCGGCCACAGGCTGGGGCGTCGGCAGCTGCACCGCGTATCTCCAGATGTGCGCGGTCTGGTCCCCGGAAGCTGAGGAGAGAGATCGGGGAGAGTCGTCACCCACAGGCACGGAAGGCGTCTGCCGCGCCGCAGCCTGAGCAACCTCAGTCCGGCGTTCCCAACGCGGAGGTCAGCTAGTGAGTGGATGCGCTTTACTTAAACAGCTACGGCTGAGACCCCCAGTGGCACTGAGGATGGAGTCCTGTGCGAAATTAAGGTATCAATCCCTGCAGGGCAGAACGTTGTCGAGGTTCAGAGAAATGTACAAATAGCAGACTTCATTCTCCATCTACCTGATCTAGGTAAACTGCAGCCTAGGATGCCAAACTCATAACAGATCCCGGGATGGCTCAGAAAGATGACACTCGCTGTCACCCAGTCAGCACTGACGGGGCCCTGCCACTCGCCAGCGCCCGTGAGTGTCGCCGTCTGCGCCACTCCATCCTCCCTCTCTAGTCTGCAGCCTGGCCTGCGAGGAAACGGCAAGACCACGGGGACACCCAGGCCCAGCGAAGGCCTCAGACACGCCAGGGGGCAGGTCTCGCCCTCCCAGGAGCAGCCCGGCTCCCACCTTCTCTTCGTAAACAAGCACCCTTGTCACAGCGAAGGGAGCTCACCACCCTGACCTGCCAGCTCCCTTCAAACCAACCCCAGGTGGACCCAGCCTAACCCCTCTCCATCCCCCGAGTTCCCACCTTCCCACAAAGCATCGCTTGGCTCCGCTGCCCCTGCAGTCACACGGCAGCCCAGACTCCTCAGACACCGAGTGGGTCATGACTGCTTGGTCCAGGCCTGCTGAAGTGGCCCCGACCCACCCTCCCCACGTCCCCCGCGACCAGACTGAGCTCGGCTGCTTCCCACACTGAAGTGCTGGTGCCTGGGCCCCGGCTCAAATAATTCCAGCTGTGCAAAGCGCCTGGTCACCTCTACTTTGCGTTCTGTCCCCAGGTCAGCACAGTCTGACCCGGGGGCCAAATCCAGACGCCCCCCACCACTGCCTGGCACACGGCCACGGCCATGGCGACTCAGCCGCTCGCCGTCTCTGACGCTTTGCGCCCTCCAGCAGGGCTGAGCAGTCACGGCAGAGGCCGAATTCCACAAAGATGAGCACATTCCCGCCTGGTCCCGTACCGCACCCTGGTCGGACGGAAGCAGACACAGCCTGCCAGATTATCACCCGCGCACCCAAAATACCAAGGGCCGGCTCCACAAGTGTCTGACGATCTCATGGGAAAACCCTCGGTGCAGCAACACTAGTCTCTAAAAGCACCAAATGAAGGAATGTTTTTAAAACTACTGCGTGAAATCACAACCCGTCCAAGCTGTCGCAGCCCAGGGGAATTATCTAGAAAGGAGTAAAAGTGCTGACTCTGGCAAAACGCTGTGTCTCAGGGTCACTTTCCTCATCTCTTTACTTCCAAGGTGGCAGCGTCAGGACACACGGCAGTGACCACCCACAGGGCATCGAGGAGCCGCGTCTCCGTCCCCCGTGAACCGCGCGGGCAGTGGTGGGACGCTTTATAGAAC